GGGGCAGGGGGGGGAGGGGGCTGGGCAAGGGGGGCGCCAAGCGGCACCGCAAGGTGCTGCGCGACAACATCCAGGGCATCACGAAGCCGGCCATCCGGCGCCTGGCCCGCCGCGGCGGCGTGAAGCGCATCTCGGGGCTGATCTACGAGGAGACGCGCGGCGTGCTGAAGGTGTTTCTGGAGAACGTGATCCGCGACGCCGTGACCTACACGGAGCACGCCAAGAGGAAGACGGTGACGGCCATGGACGTGGTGTACGCCCTCAAGCGCCAGGGACGCACCCTCTACGGCTTCGGCGGCTGAAGACCCCGCGCTCCCCGACCACCTCGAGAACCCAAAGGCTCTTTTAAGAGCCACCCACTTCCTCCCAAGAAGAGCTGTGGCATCGTTTTCCCTGAAAGGACATCTGAAGCGCGCGTAGTACTAAATTTCCGAAGCTTATTAAGGTGGCGCTTATGGAGTACCGCCAGAAGGCTTTATCATTGGCTAAGTGCGAGCTGATGTTTTGATTTTGCTGTTGATGGTGAAGCTGTCTTTGCTGTATGAAAGAGGCGCCTGTTTCCTTGTGTGCTCCTTAAATTCCTTTGCAAATGTTGTATGCTACTAAAAAAAACAAATTTAAGAGCTCCGTAATCAAAACAATGTTTTCTTGTTTAAGCATAATCTGGAATATTGTTCAATGTCTTGTACTTTAAAAACTTCATTTCACTGCAAGCGGATGCTCCATTGTGAGTTACAAAGGGGAAACCAATTTGTCGCCCAGGGTAAAATACGAACCTTGCTTTGAGAGGAAGGTTGTCTTTCCGATAATTTGAATAAATTTTTTTCTTTACTATAACGTGTCCTCAGTTACTTGTCAATTTTTTATTTTTTTTAAAAGCAAGTTTAGGGGTTCAATATCGTTTTCTCGAGTACGTACCTGGGCGAAGGGGCACGTGACAGAAAATCGCGTCACGGGCAATGCATTTTAATAAACGCGTCAAAAGGAGTCTTGGGCGAAGCTTTTCTCCTGGGTAGCGCGACTGCTCCCGTGCGGGGAGCGCTTCACTGGCGCTCGGTTTCCTTCATCACCGGAGGGGAAACGGCAAAAGCACTTTTCCCGGTTTATGTAACGCTACCGGGAGGCACGGACCACCGGCGCAAACAGCGGCGATCGACAAATCCGCGCGGCCGCTCCTGCTTTTCTCACAGCCTTAACGAGCCGGGGCAAATTTTAAACAATCCCGTGATTCTGTTTTCCTTCCTAAGCTCTTCCTTTCACAAATAAATTCCGTGCGTTTTCTCGAAGTCACGAGTTTTTGAGGATGCTTATGATCTCTCAAGCCGTTTTTTCCTGGAGAAAAGACAATCACGTGACAAAACCGGGTTAAAAATCGCTTCTCGATTGCCGCGGCTTCTTACACACCTGTGCCGCTACAAACCCGCGTTACAGGGCTTCCTAAGTGTCCGCCTCTGCGTTTGAGGTACCAGGCGATCGTTCCCTAGGGGATAACGTGCCCGTTGCTGCAACAGGGAGCTCTGTGCAGCACAGAAGGATCTTTTTCCTTTTTTTGTAGTCAGCCCACAAAAAAAAAAAACAAACCAAAAAATCCCTTCAAAAACTCGGCGGCTTTCAGAACAGCGCCGGAATTTGAGCCTCCACGCGGCTTTTAATGCCAGGAGCCTGGCGAAGAGGGAAAGCCGGAGGAGCAGGAGGGATGCGAGCGCTGTGTCGGAATTCCCGCCGACCCCAAGCTTTGGGTTTGTTCTGAGGGAGCGGCGATTCGGAGGCGGGGAGGGAAGTGAGGGGTGGGGGGCAATTCAGGGG